TCCCAGTCCCTCCTGGCACTCTGGGAGATGTCCAGGGTGGTGTCTAAAAGCTCAATTTTCCCCCAAGAGCCATTGTGGGTGCAGGAGGGTCTTCATGGTTCAGGGATGGGCACAAGCAGCAGATTCCCAGCGATTCCTTCCTTTGGAGCCCTGGGTTTTTCCTCTCATGTTTAATCCCTGAGGCTGCTCTTAACTGCCAACCTCTTAATAATGTCCTCCCCTATAACATCCTATTTTTCTTAATAAAATCCCCTTTGGGGCAGGATTTCCCCCTGTGGTGCTGTTTGCAGCCCCCATGCCTCTCCCTGCTCCCCAAGCCCATCCCTGGCTGCTCCGGGATCCTGGCCAGGAGGGGGACCTGGGCTGTCCCGGCCCCTCAGTGATGGGGTTTCCCATCTTGTCCCACAGGTGGTTCCGGTACCACGTCGGGCAGACGCTGTTCCACGTGCTGCAGGTGGTGCTGGGCTACCTGGTGATGCTGGCTGTGATGTCCTACAACGCCTGGATCTTCCTGGGGGCCATCGCGGGCTCCACGCTGGGCTATTTTGTGGTGTACCCCCTGCTCGGCCGGGGTTAGACCCCCCTGGGGCGGTGGGACACGGGCCCCCACCTCCTGCTGCTCTGTCTGGAATAGCTGCTGTCACTTCTGCTGGCTCTGTCCCTGTCCCCTGTGCCGGGTGGGACGCAGAGCCCCAGGGACTTGCTGTGGGGCTCTCGGTGCTGGCCCCGCTGTGAGGGGGCAGTGCTGGGGACGGGGAGCCCCACGGCCAGCACTGCCACGCTGGTGGCTGTCCCCTGGCTCTCAGGGATCTCTGGCCGGGAGGTGACAGCGAGGGGGTGCTGGGCATTTCCTTCCCCTCCCCACTTTTCGAGGAGGTTCATCCTGGCTGGAACGGGAATGGTCCGGTGACTTGCTGGGGAAGGGGACACGCTGGGGACAGGGCCCCCTGCCCTCCTGCCCCAGAGCTGCCCTGCACCAAGCCCCTCTTCACACAGTGCCTTCTGGGGATGCTGGGGGGTCCTGCTGCCCCTCACCCACCCCCCTCCTGCCAGTGCTTCAGGGATGGGGTCGGAGCAGCCCCTGAGCCAGGGGGACAGTGCTGCTCCAGGTGCCTCCTGCTGCTTCCTCAGGACACCCCTTTTAATAAAATCATCTCAGTCACTCTGCTCCTGGTTTGTGTCACTGCTGGGTGCTCTCAGGACGTGACACCCCCTGGTCACAGTAGGAATTGGGGTCCCCAGCCCTACTCCCCAGGAGGGAGGTTCAGGAATAAGGACAGCCTCCTCTGGCTTTAAATAAAGCTTTTCCATTTTATTAATTATTATAAGCATATCTTTAAACATTTGTATATCTTTCTTAATAAAATATCCTGGAAGAGACAGATTTTAAGTTTCCCAAAGCAAGGCACTTTTTTGGGGGGGCCT